CAGTGAAGTTCCCTCCAGCGATGCTTCTGCCTGGACTCCTCGCTGTCTCTCTCCCTCGGATCGGGTCTTCCCCAGCGTGCCTTCTGCCATCCCTCCACGGTGATCCAGGCATCCTCCTGCCACATTATCCACAGCGTCGTCGGGCTGCTCCTCTTCTTTCGCCTGGCTTCTGTCCCGGCCGTTCCTGGTCTTCGGGTCTGGTACTCCTGCTTGTCTCTGCTACAGGGACCCTGGCAGCAGCACCCTCTCTCCTCCTCTCTGCTCTGCAGTGTGCGCCGCCATTTTTAGCTGAGCTGGCTGGCGTTTGGCGCTGATGTCACCGGCTGGCTGCAGCTGTATAAATAAGCGGCTGACGAGCCGCGCGGTTTCTGTGTTCCGCCCTGTTTCCCCAGTTGCCAGTGAGTATTCCCGCGTCCCGGGTCATCCATTTTTAAATCAAAGTTGATAAACTCAAAAAACCGTCTTTTAATATTAAATGTACCAGTATCTTTGCTGTGAACTACAAATTGGAAAATCAACACGTGTTGTTCTTGGTGAGAGACATCAGGAGTAGCATCACATATGACAGAGTAATAAATGGCCTTTTCCCTCTCTGGAAGGATGGTCTTTTGCACACTCTTACCACATAATTCAATAAACTCATGCTGACTCTCCCATGAGTGATAATGAGCCTGTCCTTGTATCGTTTTGCCCTTTGCTTATGTTTGACTTTGGCCCAATGGTCACGAGTGATGTTGTCATAATGAGCTATTAACTCAGGAGTTCCAAGAAAGTTGCTGTTGTGTGGGTCACCTATCAGATTATTATCTCCTTGGAATGCTAAACCTCTCAAAGCAAGATATGACGTAACAACCAACAATCTTTCTAATATTTCTTTCCATCTTGTTGCTTCAGATTTGTTGTTTGTTTTTGAACCTCACTGCCCACTCCATGTCTACCTGACAGTGACTGCTGTAATTCCTTCCACTGGCAGTAGCTAGTTTTATGTTTTATGCTCTTGTCATGTTCAGGAAGTCCATTATATAGCTTTTGCCATTTTTTCACATTTGGTGAATACCCTTGACTTTTTGCCAGAGTACTGCGTTGTTTTTGTCTCCCTTCAGAAAGTAACTGACATAGAAAACAATACAGAGCTTGATTGGTTGGACTCCAAGTAAGCCCGTCTCTTGGTAGCTGTTCTCCATCGGAAGTCTTACACATAAGAAGAAATTCAGGAAACATATAACCACCAACATCTTTTGGAATTGACTCTGCTAGCTTCCACATTTCTTCAAAAGTCAGGACACCAGATAGAACAATTTTTTTTGCTGGAAAGAATCTTTTATCAGTTTAGGCCACAAGCCTGGGTCTTTGAAAAAGCATGAATTAGATAGTGTAGTACTACTCTCTTCTGTTTTTTGTAAGCCTTCTTGTGAACATAGTGGTGCTAATAGTGATGTTACCTGACTATCTTTTGAAAGCATTACATTGGACTGACATGATGCATTTGGCAGCTTTTCTTCATCATCGGTTGCCACAGATGCAGTCTCTACATTAAAATAATTTCCATCTTATTCTTGTTCATCTACTTCCCTAGTTAGTGTATTGCCTGAGCCAGACTGAAGAAAGACATTGTCTGTTTTGAAAAACTGGAGGATTGATTGGTGTCCTTTAGCTTCTTTTAGTTCCCTTTGTTTTACCTCCTTAAGTTTCTGGCTGCCTGATTTGCATTTATAGCTTCCAGACACTAACCCTATCCCTGTTTCAGTTCTCTGTGCAATGTTTAGACAAACAGGCCTAACTCATTACTTACTTTTGGGCCTGTAAATTCTACCAGTAACACTGTGGCTTCCACTGTCCCTGGGATCAATGTCCCTGGTTATATGGCACTTTGTCCCTCCCCTCTCCATCTATATGCACAAGGGACTCTGGGACTTGTAGTTATTGAGAGAGCAAGCCACAAATTGAAGCATAAATCCCTCAATCTCTCAAACTACAAGTCCTAGAATTAACTGCACAAGCATACTCTCTCTGTTCTACAGAAGGGCCCTGGGCTGGCCAGAAACTAACTGTTCAGATGTTGCTTGTTCTGCTTCTGATTGGCTCCTGCAAATCTCACAGTGGAGACCCCATATAGGTAGTACATAACTTTCCATACATATCTTCAAGCATGACTGTGAACCACTGACTGCCTTGTCTATGGCCTCTTGTGGGCTAGTCCAACTCTCACCTGCCATGTCTTTATAAATTTTGATGTTATTTGTCAGGAGGTATTATTGCCGCAGTAGGACACTGGCAATCTATCGAGGTTCTTATCAGTGGTACAACCTATTTGATGGCTCTCTCGACCGATGCCCCAGATTTACGTCATCAATTGAATCCCAGTCTTATTTGAGTTGAACAATTCTCTTTCTTTTTCTTTTACATTCACAGCTAGTTCAGAAACATACATATCGTGGCTATTTCCAACTGTTGCTTTTTTTCTTTCTAATTGTCTTTTGTAAACACCTTTTATGAAATTTCTTCTTTAGTAATACACAACAATATAAAATTAACTATGGAACAGTTTCTTTAACTATACAGAAAATTTTACTTTCCGTTTCTTCCTTTCTTTCTTATGCAATGTCTTATCTTGTTAATCCCTTTGGGCAACTCCCACGTTCTTTCTTCTAGGGTGGGGAAGAACCACAACTCCAGCTCTCTCTTTGTTCTCCCTTCAAACAACTTTGAGGAACAGTTAGTCCCCGTCAACGTAAAACAAAAACAAAAGCAAACTAGAGTAACTTCAACTTGTTTTGTTTTTTTTTTCTTTGAGGAGCATCCATGGCTCCTTTTGTTTCTCTCAGCTTCTCTCCACCCCGTACCTCTCTTTCCCCCGAGCGATCAGAGGGTTAATTTACATACTCCCAAGACTCCCAGCTTCCTTCCCCAGTCGTGCCTTCTCCTGCACACTGGACCAACCCCTGGGATCTCCCCGACCCAATAGTCTTCTCCCAGCTCTTACTCCCAGAGTCTTCTTTCGCTCCTGTCTCTTCCTCCACGCCGCGCCGTCCTGCCCTGGGCTATTTCATCTGCAGGGAACAGCTGCTTCTGAGGCGCTGTTCTCCCCACTCAATCTCCTTTCCTGGTTTTTCAATTTGTTTTTTTGTTAGTACTTCTTCACAATGACCTACAATTTAGCCTTTGTTTTTTGCCTCATGGTAATAGGGTTGCAGCCTGAGTCGGTCCCCCCTGGATCTCTGGGCCCTGGTAAAGTATACCCTTTGTCACCCATATGCTTGGGCCCTGGTCTTCCCATGACACTACTGCAAGGTTTTGGCATAGTTGTTGCCCTCTCTGCTGCTCATTGGAGGGGCCCCAAGTACTGAGATCGGGCCATTCATGACCCACTGTGCAACCCACCACAGAAGGCTATTTAGATTGCAAATTGCATTGCTCAGCTTCTCCTGTCCAGCTGCACTGATTAATGCTTGATTTGAGTGTCAATTGAGAAAAAGAAATGTACATTCTTGGTATAGGATGACTTCATAGATGATGAAAAATAAGAACAGGTTCATCTCCTCAGTGCATGCAGGATGGGTGCCTTCTCTGCAACAAACTGCTGCCTCTCAAGGATGTCACTGTGTCCTGCCCTCTGCACATGAAGGTGCTTAGCAATGTAGCAATGCATGTGCCATGCAGATGCCACTGCAGTTGCCCTGTGAGTTAGTTCTCAGCCTCAGTAGCAGATCTGTGACCTGCACCACCTGCTCCAAGTTGGAAGGAGGTATTTCTGCAATGTTGAGGCTGTTATCCCAATGATTGTTTTCATATAGCTGTATCCCTTCATCTTCTATCTTTGTGTAGCTATTAGGATTTCAAATCTGTTGTCTCCACTTGTCTGTGTAATTCTCAGTTCTAAGATGGAGAGAGCAAACTTAACATGTCAATGGAGAAATACAACTTAGCCACATTACCACAGCACATTGTTATATCCTTATAAGAAAAGTTAGCTAATGGATAAAACACCATGGGGCACTTTTCCAGAATTGCCCATCCAGAAGTCTTCTAGTGCTTTTTGCCATTAATGAATGAACAAGTCCCTTGAGGGGTAGGTAGCATTATCTCCATTTTACAGATGATAACCCTGAGGCATGGAGAGAGTAATGCCCAATATCACGCAGGAAATGAATGCCAGGGCTAAGAAGGGTACCCAAGCATTTGGCTTCCCATTTCATCTTTAAATGTGAGAGAGATTGCCAGGCTATGCTTTGATATAAACTAACTTTTTGTATGACATCACAGCAAAATTCTATGACTGTATGTAATCCTGTGCTTGTGAACGGCATTTCTCTTAGGGACCATCTGGATGTGATCAAAATGAGTCTATAGGTTTAGCTAAAAGGAACAAACTGTACTGACCCTTGGAGAAATTTCAAGCTCACTTCCTTCCGTAACTAACATCATGGTCGCAGTATTAACTTCTGGTTCTGCCAAAAAAAAAGAAAAAAAAGAAGTATAATATGCCTATTTATGCATGTGGGAGTTTTATTTGAACCAGAGATATGATTCATTCTTTTCTTAAAAAAGCACAAACCCTCCACTGAGGATTGAAATTGTCCCCAGGTCTAATTATTGCAATAGAATCCAAGCTGGAAGAAGGCAGGTTAGCGTTGTTTTTTCCAATTTACATTTTTCTCATGGTCTTGAAAAGGTTTCTTTCCCCTTCTGTGTTAAGCCAGGCTCTTCTCCCAGTTCCCCAGCATAGGCCAGGACTGGGAAGATTCTTTGTTTTTTGAATCTGCTTTAATAGCTAGGAAATGTTAGTTATAAATGATGGTAATTTTTTAATGAAACAGCTAGAGAGCAGACATTATTATACCTGTTATGGACTTATATCTGAGTAGGGGCTTGACTGACTATTCTACCCTGCCTATTTCTTAAAAAAATGTTAATGCTCTTAACTTTATAACTCACCTCTGTTTTAGCCTTTAGAATAAATCACAGCAAGCAGCGAGGAGGAGGATGCAGTCATCTTTTGTATTATCTGTTTTGCAGAGAACGGAGCAGAGTGGAGAGCACTTAGCTACCAAATAGGTGGAATAGGATCTGGCTTTTAGTACCTCTTAGGTAAGAAAGATCCCAAATAAATAAACGAATATATATGGGAAATGTAAGAAATCTAAACTAATACCAACTGATTGGTAGGGCTGAATGGAACAAACTGCAGAAGCTTGCTGGGGGGCTTAATTATGCTCACATATGGATGCACACACTCACCCATGTATGTGCGCACACATGCCAACATATGCAGACATACACACAGAAACACTGTGTAAAAAAGAATGGGTGTAGTAGAGGTGTGTCCCACAAAGTTGCCTCGTTGTCTGCAGAGTGCTTAGATTGTGTGAAGGAGTGGGATGGTGCTGGAGAGCACAGTGGGAACAAGGAATTGTGGCCCCACCCCAAATGCAAAGGCCCCTCTCAGTAAGAGTCTGGGTCAGAGTTCAGGTTGTGCTGTGGTTAAATATCTATTTTTTTGTACTAGAGAAGGATGTAACTATGCTTCCTATGCTAGCAGAGTAGGATTTAGATTGCTCTTTTTTACTTATTTCCTTGCTTTGGTGTGCCTGTGTTTGTAAAGGAATTCAACTCCAACTCTTCACTGATCATGCTATGTGCTTCCCCAGGCTGGCAGAGTTTTTATAAAGAATTCTGATAACTTTGTGCAGAGTTATAGCAGGACAGCTCCATCTCCTGGGGAGCAATGGTACACTGGGCAATAAATGCTAGCTGCTGCACTTTTAATGATGGTGTAGCCATGGTGGTGGCTACTTTTGTTCCCTCCTACCAAAGACAGTGCCTGCCCCCCCACCCCGCCATTCCAGTTACACTACTGACTTTGGGGTTCATTGCCTTCTGCTTTCTAGGTTTTCAGGTTCCACCCTGGTGACATTTTCAAGCTTTTCTGTGCATCTAGGAATGAAGGCATAAGTGGGCAGCTCTGCACCCTCTGGACAGTGGCAACACATAGGGCAGCAACTCCTTTTTTCATGCCCCACTTTTAAATCAGTGCCTAGGCCTAGTATCTCAGTCACATACGTCACCTCCTTTAGTTACACTACTGTCTAGGAGCACTTGAAGCATATTTATTAGGGGTATACCAATAAAGATTTTCTTGGCCAATATCAATAGATGATGATTAAACAACCATATCGGCTGATGTCTATCCGATAACCAGTATTTAGTAATAGTGCAAAGCATTTTGAACTACTGATATAAATAAACCTTTTTTGTTTGTTTGTTTGTTTTGTATTTATAACACACAAGCACACATGCATCTCCTGCCCATTCCAGCCCTCAATGAGGAAGGCGGTGACAGCCTTATTCTCATGTACATTGCTCCCTTGCCCACAGCTCTACCCCCTGCGCAGCCCATGCTGCTGTCCCAGGTGGGTGGGGTGAACCCTCACACAGACAGCGGTGCTGGGTGCATTTGGATCCCCAGAGCATGCCACTGCCTCAGTGCCGGTGAGCCCTGTGCAGCAGATCTCTTGTGGCTGCTGGGGAGAAGCCACTTTTGCAAAGCTGCCTGGTGCCTGGCAGAGCAGAATGTCCCTTGTGTGGTGTCTTACCTTGCCCACATGCAGCCCAATGTCTCTGTGATAGCTCTGGTGCTTCAGCCTCTACTGTGTCCAGCATTGCCATGGCAGCAGCAGCAGCATCCGGAACCAGTAACAGTCCTTCTGTTGCTGAGCATGGCACCCTGTGACTGCTCCCGAGTGCCCCCTCTGTCCTCCCACTGCTCGCCAGGACCTGTAATCTGCCATGGGCTTGGGCTGGCAGTGGATCACAGGGACCAGACTACACTCACCAGGGTGCTTCGGGCACAAAGCCATAATTATTGGCTACAACAACCAAAAGAAGCTGATAGGCGATAATGTCACTACCACTTTTATTGGTGCTGATCCGATAACCAACCAATATATTGGTGCACCCCTAATATTTGTGTATAATGAAAGCTGCAGTGTTCAGGAAATTACCTAACTTCTGCAGCCTGATGACTATTAAAGCCATCACATGTTGCAGTGACGTTCTCATTGCTTAGTAGCTTTAAACTTTTTTTAAATGCAGGGGGTTCTTCATACAGCTTTCATTTTGTCTTGTGCAGGAAAATTTTACAAGGTGAAATAAATAGTGTAATGTAATAATCTGATGAGCCCATTAAAGTGTGAATGAAGCTGGCCAGGTTCATATAGATAGAAAACAGCATCCACATTCCGTATATAACTTTGAAATAGCTGTGGACAAAAAAACATGCCAGGGAAAAAGTGTACAAGGTGTGGTGGACCAGTAGGGGGTGCTCCTGCATTGAGCCACTCACCTTACTGTGCCTGACCACCTTCCAGGCTCTGAGTGCCTTCCTGGGGGCACCTCATGTCCAACTGACTCCCTTCCTGGAGGACACCCACAAGCCTGGGGGTAATGATGCCACCACCCAGAGTCTGGACTGATCTGGGACCTGTGCCCTCTGGGAAACACAGGCCTAGTAGTCCTTGAGGGTACTTGACCCACTTCAAGAACTTGGGGTGCTTCCCTCAGTCTGAAGCACAAATAGTGGTCTCCCTTAGTCAGCCAAACCAGGGGGACCCCAAGGCATAATTGAGACCCTCTCCCAATAAGTCTCCCATGCTAGGTACAAAGGAGAACTTTATTGGTTACAAGGAATAGGTTTGGAATAGGGTAGAGGGTAGAGCAATATCAGAGAAATAGCGTAGAGAAAACAGTGTCATAGTAGCCTTTGATCATGCAACTGAATTACTGCAAGCTATATATCTAGTTAGATCTCAGGTAGCTTACTCACCAGTATTATCCAGAGGCAGGTGGAGATTCCCTCTGGAGGCAGGCAGTTCATTGACTAAGTTTCAAGAGAGAGAGAAAGAGAGAGTTTCAGGTGGTCCAGCTTCTCTCTGTGCATTTTCATCATGGCTACTGCCCCTCCTCCTGGTCAGTCCTTTACTTATATAGCCTGTATGACCTCATTTACCTGATTCAATGAAGGCCAAAAACTGTTGGCTGCCAGCCAACCAATTTGAAATGCATCACTGGTTGCTGGGTATACTGGCAGGGTTCTTAGCCCCCTCCCAGTCAGGTTGGCATTGTTTAGAACAATAGGGAGCTTAAGCCCCCTACCCAGGTATGTGATGCCAGTCATGTAGGGAGAGGGAGCAGGTTTCCCCCATCCTTCAGGAATGTATCCAGCTCAGGTTACAACTCAGGGTTACCTGAAGCAGTTGGGACCAGAGAAGTCTGCCCTCTGCAGTGACCATGGTAACCAAATTGTCAGATAGCAGAGTTTGGTATTCTGCCACACAAGGAACACATGAATATGCACTGCACCCAAGTGATAATAATCCATCCAGGGCCATAACTGTCAGAGTGCACAGCACATGAGAGCAAGAGTAGTCACATCTTAAAGCTAAAAACCTTCTCTGACTGCCCCCCACTTGCACAGCTATGACTTCCCACTAGAGGGCTGGCAAGTGGGGGCCTGACCAGGAGCTACACCTATGAGTTGTCACTGTAGGGCTGGTGAGTCAGGACAAGCTTCTCTCCCTGCTGTAGGTGGGGGTGTGAGAGATGGGTTGCGGAGTGGGGGCAGTGTGAAAATGAAGCTGGTTGGAGAAGAGTTAATGGGATTGGGGGGTAATGAAAAAATGGGAGGTGGAAAGGAAATGGCAGGTGGGGGGAAGGGTCATGAAATGAAGGACATCAGCTACTGAAGGATAAAGTAAAAAGAAGTAAAAACAGGGGTGTAGGTTGTAGCCCTGTTGGTCGCAGGACATAGGCAGACAAGGATCTATGGGTGAATATGATATCTTTTATTAGAACAACTTAAATAGTTTGGAAAAAAATGTAGAGCAAGCTTTCGGGTTTAAAACCCCTTTGTCAGGCTGAGGAAGTCTCTGCAGTTGGTGTGTGCTCTTCCTGGATGAAATGAATAGTGAAGAAGCCAGAGGCTGGGATGGTTTGCATGTTGTTTGGTCTCTCCTAAGTATTTTTCATCGGGGCATTTGGTGCACTGGATGAGATATATTACATTTCTGAGGTGCAGCTGTAAGATTCAGGAATGCTGATGGTTCCTTTGTGGGGTGTAATAATCGTGGGGGGGGTGGAAATGTGTTGGCAGGTTTTGCATTTCTTGTCATGGCATGATCTGGATCCATTTGGTGTGTTCTTGGCCTGAGGAAGTTTTCTTCAGGTGATGAGGTTAGCGAGGTTTGGTGCTTGTTTGAAGGCTAGGGTGGGTGGTTCTGGGAAGATCTCTTTAAGTATACTAGAAAGTGCATCAAATGCCCCCATGGAAAATACGTAGGAGAAACCAAACAACACCTGCACACCAGCATGAACGCACACTGGAAATCTGTCAAAGACAGGAATAGCCAATTACCTGTGGGGGCACGTTTCTCACAAGAAAACCACTCTCTCTCCAATCTCTCAGACCTGATCCTCAAAGAAAACTTACAAAACACTTCCCAGAGACGAACCTATGGACTTCACTTGGTCAACCTCCATACAAAAAATCATGGACTAAATACAGACAATGGATTTATGACACGTTATAACCTGCCTGACATCTGACTCCCCAGGTACCTCTCCATTATCTAACTGCTACGATCATCCCCCTCTCCCCCTGCCCCACCCCAGCCTCTCCCTCACCCACTGACTCCTCAATTTACATCTTCACTGACCGCCTGTCTTGCATGCATACCAGCCCAGCCTCTGGCTTCTTTACTATTCATTCCACCCAGGAAGAGCACACACCAACTGCAGATGCTTCCTCAGCCTGACAAAGGGGTTTTAAACCCAAAAGCTTGCTATAAAATCTTTTTCCAACTATTTAAGTTGTTCTAATAAAAGGTATCATATTCACCCAAAGCACCTTGTCTGCCAAGAAGTAAAAACAGAATTTAAAAAGAAATAATGAGGAAGTAAATTGAAAAAAGTCTCACATTTTAATAATGTGGGATTTGGGTGTGGGGGTGCTGGTTGTGTTTCCTAGGCTGGGAGGCAGAAGCGGTGAGGGAAGGTACTTTTGGGGGAGCTACTGCCCTGCCCCAGGAATAAAGTCCCAGCTCATGGGGACCCAATCCGGCCCCTACCCTGTTCCCCCCCACCCTCCTAGACCCCACTCTTGGACTCATCTGTGCCCTGCAACCTGGCTAGCTGGTTTGTGTTCTGCAGTCTGTTTGCATGAAGTTGCACCCTGGGGAGTGGGAAGGTTACACCCCCAAGGGCAGGAAGGGCAGTTGTCTTGGTGCCAGAACTGCCCACTGGATAGTAGAGTTCAGGGGATGGATAGCTAGTCCACATAGAACAGGATAGTGAGGGTGAAGATGCTGCATCCTAGGATGCTAAAGGACTGCAACTTTAGTGGCTTATTTTTGGGGAGTGACCAGACATTCATGGAACATGAGCTGGGTAATATGGATCAGAAATAAACTTATCCTGGAGTGGCATAACTTCAAGCTGCCTCAAGTTAGACCAACACAGTTACAACCTACACCCCTAAAACTAATTTCAGGTGTTAATGTGCAGACAATCCAGGCGTTAAGACCTCCAGAAGCTGCCTAAAATTAATGTGTACCAAGCCCCTTAGGCTGTATACAGGCTCAGGGTTTGTCTTTTGTCTTAATTCTGCACCCCACACAATGGGGCCTGTGAAGGCTGCAGATAACCTTCTCCAGCATCTTGCAGGGAGGGGCTAGTGGCCATAATATGACTCTATCACTGCATGGTGCCATTGAACAACAATGGAAAGTTACAGGAGCAGATAATTGCAAAACTCAGTGTATAAGGAACACATGAATTGCAGGAACTTGAGCGGACCATACGTAGAAGCTGAGTGGGGACAGTAGAAAAGGAAAGCTGGTGTGAGTAGTTTCCTTCTGAAAATGTGTAAAATATTGAACACTGCATAGTTGTGCTGGTAGCAGGCTTACTTTGCTGAGAACTCAACAATGAGTGTTGCACTATAGCATTGCAAAGCTCCACTGTAGATGGGTGTGAACCTCACCGTTGCACATGTCTGTGAAGCTCTTAACTCTGTTCTCAGGGCAGCCCTGGCATTGGAGTCACTAGGAAATAAAACCTGCGTATGTCCAGACCTGGACAAATGTGCAGAGCTGAGGGCTTAGGGCCATTTACTGGATGCAGCTCCTTATAGCTTGAGTGCACAAAGCAAGGGGTTTAGAATCCTGTGGGAAACATCTGACTTGGCTACTGGCCGGGAAGGGACTTAGCTAAAGCTATAAACACTGATTGGAACCAGATGGTGCAGCAGAGACTGACTTTTCCTGATCTCTTCCTCCTCCTGACCCGGGAGGAGCATTATCAAGGAGCTGTGACAAGAACCTGAGGTCAGTGTTGACCCCTGAGGCTGATTAAGAAGTGACAGGGCTCTGAGGGACTGGAAAGAGTGGTGTAGCACAGGGAGAGGAGGGGAGGTGGTTAGTAGGTGCTGCCTGTCTGCTTTTCCTGTGAGCCCCTTCTCTCTCCTGGCACTTCATGCTCTCAATGCGTCAATGGCATACGTCTCTGCAGTTGTCCTCTGGAGATTGCTACACAAGAGTTCTGGGATCAGGCAGTGGAGGAAGCATCAGACCAGCGGCTCTTAGGCTGGAGCTTGCAGGACACTAGCCAAGGTTTGTGCAAACAGCTGACTGCTCACATGATTGTGGCCCCTCTGTTTTCAGCTGAGAGAAGCAGAACAAAGGGAGGCAAGATGAAATGAAGAGGAAAAGGAAACAGTGAGAAAAAAATGATTTGCAAGGGACACTGTTTTGTGCAACTAGACATTGCTAAACTGCTAGTATTGTTGCAATAGAGATGACTAAATAACATGGTCTAGCCCTTCCCTGCTATTGCTGTTCAATAGCATGGGTTAGGATAGTTACTCCAGGGATGTTGTAATTGCCAGTGCAATGACCAGTGATATCCAATTATGATGTCTCTTGTGAAGGGGAAGTGAACTCGGCACAGCATGGGAACCCTGCGTGGCAGCGAGATGTACTGGGTTCAGGAGAATGCAAAGAGAACAATATTTGCAGTCTCCAAAGGTTGCAACCAGCAGTTGGCTTTCTTTCCAAGAGACAGGGAGACATGGGTTTGGGTAGGAGGCAGATGCAACTAAGGGCAATCAGCAGCATAGTGTTGCTGTAAAGACTTTCCTCACTCTTCTCAGGCCAGCAGACACTCTCTCCCTCCTACATGGCTCTTAGAACGTGCAAAAGAAATCCATCTGGTTGACAAGCTCTGGAGAATTGGAGTGGAGCCAAAGGCAGGGGCAGGTAGATGCAGAGCATAGGTGAGGGAGAAAATATTTTTTTGGGGGGCTGAGTGCACATATGCATGCGCACGTGCCCCCTCCCCATGGGAAAGTCTGCAGGGGGAGGGGGAAGGGCCTTTTGTGGGGAGTGGAGCTGGGGCTGTGCAGGGCTGCACTAAGGCCGGCCCAGGTCATGGGGCAATTGGACCCCAGTGGCTCCTCCAGGGGTGTGGGCAGGCAGCTCTTGCCACTGTATGCACCACAGGGGAGCTGGGGAGGGGGCATGTTCCCCCCCTTGGCTCCCCCACGCCATGCCCCTACGTGTCCAGTCAGTGTCTATTAACAGTGAATGGGGCCCTGACTGGGCCAGGTTGTGGGAGTCAGAGCCCAGCGGCTCCTCCAGAGGTGCACCACGGTGACGGGGAGCCAAGCGGGGTCATGTTCCCCCACCCCGATCTTTGCATGGGGTAAGGACGGGCCGCAGCTGTGAGATGGGATCTGGCTGCTCCCAGCCTCTGCACCTTTCTGCCACTGCTTTGAAAGTGTCACGGCGTAGTGCCATGTGCCTCACTGCAGCAGTGGGACTCACATGGCGCTGTGCCATGCCACTCTTGAAGCAGCAGCAGTGAGACATGGAGGCAGACAGCATGCAGAGCCCAGCTTGTAGGTGCAGCATGGCCTTGCCCTGTGCAAAGATCAGGGGGCCACATGCCCACCCTTGGCTCCCCAGAGCCACGCCATGCCTCTGGAAGAGCCACTGGGCTCTGATTGTCCCACGACCCGCTCTGGCTGGGGCCCCATTCACTGTGAATGGAGCCCTAGCCGGGCCAGGTTGTAGGACAATCCCCACATGCAGCAGGGAGCGGGGCAGGGGTGAATCATTCACCCCTCCCCCCACCCCACTGCCTTCTGCACTTCTTGGGATCTTGATCTGCCCCTTCCTCCCCCCACCCCAAGCCCAGGTAAAGGAAGAACCTTACCTGCCTCCTGGGCCAGCTGGGATCCTAGCTGTGTGCTGCAGGATATCCAAGTGTGCATGCCCTGCCCCCCTGCTGCAGCAGTCTGCGGCCAGGCTGCCTTCCGGCTCTACCTGCATTTCGGGGGGCTGAGCCTGGTTAGCACTCTCCGCCTTCTGCTGCCTATGATGCAGAATACAGATTTAAAGAGACTAAGGCACACAATTCTGTAAACTTTAGCCTTGGCCTTAATGGAGCACAGTCTCCAAAACTCCTGCTGAGGTAATGCTTTAAGATAATTTGTTATGGTTGCACAGAATCCAAAGAGAGAAAAAGGGCAGATTTTCAATGCCTATGTTATTTGTTTGAATCACTTTTATTTAAATCTTTCCAGCAACTCAAGACCAATTTCCTAATACAAGTTTTCACCATTCCCTAAAAATATAGCACTGGTGTGTTCTGTTCTTTTTTCATTGTGGAATGGAAGGTTTAGGCCAAATGTGTCAGAGATCAGTAGAGGCCTGGACACAGCATTACAAAACAAATTTATATCAGCTCTGTACATGCCTTTAAATTGCACCAGAATCTAGAGTGGACATTTGAACCAAGGCAGACACTACCACCACCAGCTTAATTATCCCACTGGAGTTTTACCTCTGTTTTTTTGGGGGGAGGGGATAATCTCCACTATATTTAGATGAGTCACTGGTGGAGACCTGTAAGTTGTGGGTCCATTAACTGTAAGTTGTGGGTCCATTTCTTTTTCAAAGTAGGTTGCACCAGTGTTAATATGTTGTGTCCAGGGCTATATCAGTTGCTCCTGTTTAAAGAACAATATTGATTATTAGAACCATAGTAAAGATCAAGGCTGATGTGCAGGGGGTGCACAGGAGTGCATGTGCATGTGCACCCCTTGAGAGTGCCAGTGCACCCCCTGTCAGGCCACACTCCCTGTTTAGCTGGTGGGCAGGGGGGCAGGTGGGAGCGCCAGTGTCCCCCTGTGAGCACCAGCCAGGGAGCAGGGCCGCCAGCCAAAATGGCTGTGTCGCTTGCGGAAGTGGCTGCGGGAGTTCTGGAAGCAGTGTGGCTGCTTTTATGTTGAGTGAGATCAACTGCTGGAGGATCATCCTCCCCAGCCAGCAGGATCGGCTGCTGGGGGACCCTCCCCCCTCAGTCACTGACTGGTGTCAGGGGGGGCACGTGCCCCCCTCAGACACCAGACACCCATGGAAAAGATGGGCCAAAACAGAACTGAAGAGCATCACTAAACTGAGAGAATTCTGGTGCAGTAAAGCACAGTGTAGGGCATTCAACACACAATGTACAGGCCATGATTCCTGAAAGGCAGCCTACCAAAGGGACAAAGCTGGATTAATGTCATTTTGTACATCTTTTTTCATGTATAAATGAAGCACAGGGTTTTTCATTAAAAAATTTTTTTTTCCTCCCCCCCCACCTTAACAGAGCAAGTCTGATCCCTGGTTTTGTTGGAAGACTTCTTGGATGAAGAAAAGAGAGGGCACTTCCTTAATCCCTTATTTGTGTGTCAGCTGTTGAATCTTCATGAAGAACCATCCTTCTAGGGAAGCTGGGGCCCTGGGTGGGGGGGATGGGGCCCTCCAGGGTGCCTGGGACCCTGGGCGGGGGGGCTGTGGCCCTGCAGGGGGGGAGCTGGGGCCCTGCAGGTGGGGAATTCCATGTGCTGGGGGGGGCTGCACCCTGTGGGGACCAAGGGACCCACCCCTTCTGAGCAGCCCC